AAAAACGCTCATTATAGACGAGTCTCTGCTCCTCTTCCTCTCTCAAACAGAAAAAACAGAAACAGAGATATCCGGTAATAAACAAAGATGACAGAGGAGGTTCACTGGAACTAACTCGTACATGTTCTACCTCTCCACTGAAAAGATTGTCATAATTGCACTATTATGTCCACTGCCATACTGTTTACATTACTTTCTTCCATTTACCTTCTTCCTCATATTTATACGGTTACACTTTTTATACTGTTATGCTGTTTATATTGTTATCTGTAATTCATACATTAAGAGTATTTAGGGTAGTCTTTTGTCTAGCTTAGGCCCCAACTACACGAAGGCGGATATATTTCAAACCGCACATATTTATGTCCGATTAGGCCTCCCTACCACACCAAAACGGGAGTTTGGAACACTCAAACCGGATAAATCTGAATCCGAAAAAACAAGTGGAGAAATAAAAAAATATCCGTATAAGTGGATTCGTGTGGTTGAACTTTTACGGATCGATGACGTCAAACCGCAGCTCACGCATGCGAATTGAAAAGAAAAACAGCAACAACGATGGCGGACATACAGGGTATTCTTTACGTTTGTTTTGCCCTTTTGGGGCTAATTTCAGCCTTGCAAGTGAACCTTGTTTTATACAATTACATCCACCAGTCAGCCAGCTCACAGAGGCGTCTGCTTTGTTATAGCCGCCACACCGTCACATGGACCTGACGCACTAGCGTAGCTTCCGCTGTTATGATTCATCGGCCAATCAGGTAGCTTTGTTCCTGATTTTTTTTAAGCCGCACCAGATAGGATTGAGTTTGAAGGCTACGTGTGGACGCCGATATTTTTGAGAACTAACACGTGTGGACAGATACATTTATTTAGACGGGAGTACAAAAATATCCTGATAAATAAATATCTATAAACGTGTAGTCCGGGCCCTAGAGTTTATTCTTATGCACTGTGGGTCTGAGAGGACTGAAGTTTCATCTTGTTTTACATGTATAGCATATTTGACAGTAAATCTGACTTTGACTTTTTGATTTTGACTTTGAAAAGATCCAGAAAACCTGGAAATTTGGTGCCAGATCTGGAGGAGCTGGTTTATAGTGGACAGGAGGTTTTGCAGATTAAATCCTGACTGGATGAGTAGGTCCTGGCACCATCAGAGGGTCCTATCATCTTGCTTAAGATCTTCTTCAGTTTGGTCGCTCTGCAGAGTCTAGGGTTCAGTCTCAGTCTCATCTGGTGCATTTGGTGCAGAACCAGGACCAGGATGAGCATGAACCTTGTCTCTGCTCTAAGCTCTGCAGCCCTCCTCTACACCTGATATCTTCTCTGTACGTTTCATTTCTTCTGCATCAACACCAACATCCCCCTCCTTGTTTCCTCTTCCTCCCTTCCCCCATCATCACCCTCTTCCTCACCCCCTACCCTCCCATCATCCTCCCCCCTTCCTCCAGCATCCTCAGAGTTATTCTCCACTTTCTATTTTTAGCTCTGAACCTCTGCTCTTCTCTCCCAACAAAGACTGCTTTATAATAACCTCACAGAGGAGGAGCACTGGGAGCACTGGGAGGACTAGGAGATGGCAAAGAGCCTTTGGATGTTGGTATCAAAACTGTGACGTGTGAATACAAAGAGAGAAATTAGTCCTCATGGAGCGTGCAGGTGGTCTGAGGGTCAGTTTGAGATGATTTTAAATTCTGTTATTTTCTCTTGATTCACTGAGGAAGAGGAGAAATCACTCCAGGATAAATCTGTCTGAGAGATTTTTCATTATTGAGCCTGAGTCTGCAGCCTGACTCTCTTCCTCTGCATCATTCGGGTAAAAACACCATCATTTCTGGAGTGTAAACCTCATAAAGCTTCACTTTGGTGCATAAAAACTTCATTAATTTTGAAGTTTTGCTCTTTTTCTCAAACATTAACAGAGTCATCGATTTAAAAGCTCAAAGAAATCAGATTAAATAGAGCTGAAAAAACCACAACGCAGACAACAAAGTGCGAGAAAAACTGGAAAGTCTGAAAAACGCTCTAAGAAATGTGTGCCAGTGTGTGTTATTAAAGGTGTAGTCTGTATAATTCATACAGAGGTCATTATGTCTCAGCTGTAATGTAATGAAACATAAATGATGTATTTGTCAGTCCTGCAGGTTTTCAATAATTCACTCAACAAAAGCAGGAGCTGGACAAACACTGGTGCATTCTGGGTAATGACGCTTAGATATTTAGCTCAACAAAGCAGATTTTTTTTTTTCCCCTCAAGCACATTTAAACATCTGTAGGAATGAAAACAGAGACGACTCCTCTTTTATTTTCAGTCTGAGTGAGTCCCATAATTTGAGTTTATCTAAAGGAGGTCCAGGTGAGAGTTTAAGAGTAAGACTCCGCCTCTTTATGTCATGACAGGAACTGACTGGACAGAGGGCTATAAGTACTATGGTGCCAAAGAAGGACACATCCATTTATTTTAGGGCCAGTTTAGTCAAAAATTAAATGATTGGAGGTAAAACCTGCACAGGTGTAGAACAGAGCACAAGGTGTTGCACAGACTACAAGGTTAAGAATAGATAACCAGGTGTAGTACAGATTACCAGGTGCAGCAGAGATTAAAACGGTAGATGTAATACAGATGACCAAACGTAGCTCAGATTGCCAAGTATGGTAGCGATAAAAAGGTGTATTTTAGATTACCAGGTGTATTTCATATTACCAGGTGTAATATAGATAACCACGTATCATACAGATTACCAGGTGTAGTACAGATAACCTGGTGCAACAGAGACTAACAAGTGTGGTAAACATTACCAGGTGTAGTACAGATCACCGGGTGAAGTATAGATTGCAAAGTGTAGTTAAGATTAATACATGTAGTACAGATTACCAGTTGTGTTATAGATTACCAGGTGAAGTAAAGATTACCATGTGTAACAGAGATTGACAAATCTGGGAGAGATTACTGGGCAACGAGTTTACCAGATGCAAAACAGATAAAGAGATGAAGAACAGATTACCAGGTGTAGCAGAGATTGTCTAGTTAGGTAGAGATTACCTGGTGTATTTCAGTTTACCAGTTGTAATATAGATCACTGGGTGAAGTACAGATTACCAGGTGTAACAGAAATTGACAAGTGTGGTAGAGATTACCAGGTATAGTAAAGTTATCCAGGGGCAAAACAGATTAAGAGATGAAGTACAGATTACCAGGTTTAGCAGAGGTTAAGTAAAGTACACATCACCAGGTGTATAGAGATTGACAAGTGTGGTAGAGATTACGATGTGTACAGATTACCAGGTATAGTACAAATTACTAGGTGAGGCAGAGATTGAAAAGTGTAGTAAATATCATAGGTGCAGTACAGATTACCAGGTGTAACAGAGATCGACAAGTGTGGTAGGGATTACTAAATGTAGTACAGTTTACAAGTTAAAAAACAGATTTAGAGATGAAGTACAGATTACCAAGTATGATTCAGATTCACAGTTACAGCACAGATTGCCAAATGTAACAGAGATTGACAAGCGTGGTAGAGATTACCAGGTGGAGATTGACAAGTGCAGTGGAGATTACAGATTCTTAGTTGTGGTACAGATTACAGGTGTGAAACCTTCATCTGAGGATTCAAAACTGGAGCCTCCTCATTATGAGGCAGCAGAGGTAACCAGGTCCACTTTTTAAATTAGGAGTCCTTTTTAATCCGACACTCTGTGGATCTATTTAAGATTCTTCAAAGTTGGAGAAATGAGTCAAATAAAGTGAACAGAGACGATCAGAGAGAGGAAGAGGAAAGATTCTGACCTCTGACCAACATTTACTGTTTTCTGTCAGCCTGCAGTGAAGTGAAACATCAGGTCTCTGTGGGATGAATCAACTCTTAACAACTTTATGATGTTATCTGAATTTAAAGAGACGGAGAGGAAGATTTAAAAACCAGAGATCAACACCGACTGATTATAACACCCTCATTTAATACGGGGTTATTTTCCAGAGCAGACCAGCTCTAATATCAGAGCTGGAGCGTCTGCAGACAGCTTTAATATGACCTCTGACTGTCTGCTATCACACCTGACAGGTAAATGACAGGTAAGTGTTTGAAACCTTCATCAGAGCCGACAGACGAGTTTTTAACTCCACATCAAACCAGAGGAAGAAAGTCTGCTGTTTGATACACACACAAACACACACTCTCTGTCGGTGTGTTTTGGCCTGAGGCTGCAGCTCAGAGAGAGGAACAGATTCTGACCTTCAAACTCTCTGACACACTTTTAACACACACACTCACTCGCTCGCTGTGTGTGTGTGTGTGTGTGTGTGCAGTATGACTTCCTGTCTGCATATATATGTGTGTGAAAGTGTGCGTGTCCTGCTCTCTAATTGGTCACAGTGTGTTTCTGTCCTGCTGAATAATTCATGATGAGGCCACTGAACGCATCGTAAAACACTGACGACGATCAGAGCGACCACAGGATCTGAGAGTGTGTGTGTGTGTGTGTGTATGTGTGTGTGTTTATTGGAGATCAATGTTGGGACACTGAAAACACACAGAAACATGCAGGGCAAGGAGGAGGAGGAGGAGGAGGAGGAGGAGGAGGGGTGATAAAGACTCCAGTGATGGATGGCAGACTCCTCTGTAGAGCTGCTTCTGCTTCTTCTTCTCCTCCTCTCCTTTCTTTATAGTAGCCTAACTGCCGTGTGTTTTAAGGTCACATTACAGTAACGTTTATGTTAAATTTCATGTTAAAGGCATGGTTAACGATTGGAGAGATTGGTAATTATTATGAACCTGGTTTATATGGCGATCATGGTCCTGTAGTGCATTCTCCAAAAAGTGAAGAGACAAAAGAATGGAAAGGATCCGTTCATCCTGGCAGGTGCAAGGCTGCAAAAACATTGACCAATGGCAGCCATCCGTCCCGAAAAAGAGTTCTTTTTTTTGTAGGGTGGTAGTGGAAGGTCCCGCCCTCCTTTGCCTCTGATTGGCTAGAAGTGATAGACTCCGATTGTTAAGTTAGGATTAGGGTTAAGGTTAGGAGATTCAGAAGTGTGATAATGTTCTGTAATGTTCTGTTCGATGTACAGAGCTGACAGCCCGCATTAGGCTTGAGCGTGTGATGACGTTTCTAGCTTTTCTAGCCAATCAGAGGCAAAGGAGGCGGGACTTTCCCCTACCATCCTACCAAAAAAATATTGTGTCCTGGACAGCTCCTATTGGTCAATCTCCTGCGTCACCTCTCCATCCAATCACCTCGCTGTATCCGACACACCCCTCTCCCATAATTCCGACTCGTCCCCTCCCACTCTCCCGGCTCTCCTTGGAGCTCTGAGCGGCTAAAAGTAGCGTAGCACTTTAGCTACAAGAGTTGTGATGGAGAAGGATGGAAAAAAAACACTTCTGCTCGCCCAATCGCCAAAAGTGGGAAGAAAACGCAAGCCGACAGAAGAAAGGGCGGAGACAAAGAGGAAATGTGACCAAGCGAGGAATCTAACTCAAATAAATATTGGGTCATCCTTCGAGTGGTGGAGAAAGCTCCGCCAGGATTTGGTCCTGAAAACAGACAGCAGAGTTTTTATAGAACAGGTAATTTTTATCGCTTTCTATCGTCGCACGTGTTACATAAATAACTCCTATTAGTCTCTACAGTGTCAACACGGTAGCTGTCCAGGCAGCTGCAGACGCTGCTCGCTAGCAGAGCTGGCGTTTACTGCTGCTAGTCACTTGAAATCCGACATGGTGAATCCTATTTGAAGCTAGCTAAGGATCTTCTGCCGGCCGGCTTCTTGCTCTGCCAGAGGGGGTGTGTCGTGGGGAGGATGATACAGGTTCGGGGGGCTGTTATCATGGAGAACAGAGGGGAGAGGTTTGTGTGTGGGGGGTGGGACGCTTTTTTCAAATCTGCCTCAACTGCTCAGTTTTTTTCTACTGCTTCTCAGATCGTCAACCAGGCCTTTAAATAAAAGTTTACTGATTTTAAGCAGTTCATAAATTGCTGTATGTAGGAACAACACTTCTGAATTTACTGTGATTTCTGCTCTCTTTCTCGTCTTCTTCCACTCACTCCTGCCGACTCTTTGACTGTAAGCACACTTTTCATATTTTCTACTCTCCCGTCTGTCGTCCTGCGGTGTGTTTTCTGTATAGTTTCCCACTGAGGGGCAGATTGCAGGTCTACGGGGTTGAGTGATGTCCCGCTGCTGTTGCTGCTCTACATCTGGATCATCTAAAAAGCAGCAGTTTTCTGACTCTGGGACTCGGCAGGATTCGAACATCATAAACAGAAAAGAAACGGCGATGATTTCTGCTCAAACACTCGGAAACAAAGTGAAATAAATCAGTGTTTTCTCGCTGCATATCTGCGGGGAAAGCTCTCTGTAGTTGTTCAGACTGTGGAATTTTTTTGTTAAGATTTTCCAACGACAAGAGAGTCAATAAATCGAAGTTAAACAGATGAAAAGGATTTGTTTAACCTAAAGAAACACGCTCTTTCAAAAACGAGGAGAACTTTAAATGAGTCCGACACGAATTCAGAGAAATGAAGAAAAACAGAGCGATTAGAAACTGCTCAGATTCTCACAGAGACATTAAGAGGAGGAGAGATTGAATGTTCACCTGCAGGATAAAGAAAAGCAGAAAAAAAATAAAACAGAGGCTGGAGAGCATCAGATCAGTCTCCATTTCCAAATTAAACTCTTGGCTGTCAGATATGAAGCTGCAGCTCTGCAGGACTCTGTCTTTAATCTGATTCAGTTTCAGATATTTTTGACTCCCTCCTTCAGGTCAGGGTTTGAATCTGGTCTGCAGCTTCTTTTTTCTCTCTAATCTGAACATAAATCAGGATTTTTCATGTCTCATTTCTGCCGAAGAGTCCGATCAGATCTAAAAACAGTGACGGTCTCAGATTTGGGGGAACAGGCCTCGATTACATGGATCGTTGTATTTTATTAGCAGGCAGAGCTCCTCTGTAGTTTTCATACTTTTGTTTTATGTTTAAATTTTACAACCAGACTCTCCTGCTCTGCCACCTTCATCTTTGATTCATTTTATCATCAAACTCGGTGTCTGCGTCTCTGCGGATGAGACATTAACAATAAAAGATGCGCTCAGAGAGGACTGTGTGGATTTAAAGACGGGTTTATTATGTTTCTGTGTCGATTTGTTGGTTCTTGATGTCCTGGTTAAATTTTCAATGGACTCTATTAAACTAGATATATAGACCAGATCCAAACTGAGACCTCATGAGAAAGTAGAGGACGGTTTTAGGTCAGAAAGTCCCTGAGAGGAGAAATGAAATCTAGACCTCCATCATCAGGACCCCCAGGAGGGTCTGCAGCACGACTCTGAGACCGAGTTGTAATCCTTCCCCTCTTCCTATCCTTCCTCCTCCTCCTCCTCCTCTCAGTCCTGGTTCTCCTCAGTCTGAGTGGATTTGATCTGTGCAGGTCTGAACTGGATCAGACTGAATTATCAGAGACAGACAGACGCTGTGTGTGTGTCTTTGTGTGTCTTTGTGTGTGTGTGTGTGTGTGTGTGTGTTTGTGTGTGTGTGTGTGTGTTACAGGGACAGCAGACTGTGCTCCTGCTGACTCTCATCTCTGTGTTGTCTATTTTTATGTGAACTTCCCGTTAATATTTCCCTTCCTGTTGGAGTAAAAACTTTTTTCTGTTTTTCTGGGTCCTGTCAGTGAAGAGCAGAGGTTTGTTTCTCACGCCGGAGTGGTGAGTTTATCCAAAACTTCAAAAAATGAGAATAATCAGCGCTGTGCTGCGGAAACGGAGAGCTCTGGATTAAAGAGGAAATCCAGATTAAACCCTCAAAGAGTCTGAAAATAAACTGGATCAAAGTTTGAAGCTAAACCGGTTTAAAGATCAGATCAGTTTCACAGAATAAACTCATTTATTCTGATCCTGCAGATTAATTATGAGAAAAAAATCACCCGAGTGATCACGTGAGGAGAGGATTTACTCTGAAACTGATTTATTTTAGTTTATAAACTCAATTTAGACCAACAAGATACTTCATATAAGGTCATTTTTATCACGCCAGATTTTTTACACACAAGATTTGATCAAAGGATCGAGATTCTTGATGTGAGCACCTGCAGGATCTTTGATTAATGCAGGTAAACTCATGAGTTAACTTTTTGTGCTCAAGATTCTGAATCTGAGTTTGTAAGATCCTTAAAAACATAAATCCACATGAACCAGAAACGTATTTATCTTCCAAACTTTCAAAATTTTCACTTTTGGCTCATCATGTATTTTTAAAACTGTAAGCGCAAGATCTAAAATCAGCGAACGAGGTTGTTGACTTTGACATCAAGATACTTCAACACCCCCAAGATACTAACCAGAGTGTGCAAGATTGTTAATGTTAGTGAGTCAGATTATGGAGTTAGGTGGCAAGAGAATATTCAACTAGAAAAACAACATGTGTGCCCAAGATCCTAATTTTTGCTCAAGATCGTTTACCTGGAAGTGCAAGATCCTACAGTGATGTAGCGCTTAAATGTAGTTGTGAAAGATCGTCCATGTTGGCACCTGGAGGTTCGTAAGATTTTTTAATATTGGTTGCAAATTATCAAAAAAACAAAAACAAAACTGCTTTAGTCTTGACATCAGCCCGCAAGATTCCTTGTTAGATAAAGAGCATAAGATCCTAAATTTGAGCAAGATATATGAGATCAGCTGTTACTTTGGGTGTGTAAGATCCTTCTGTTTAAAATGCAGAAAATGATTTTGTTCACTGAGAGGGAGAGTTGTTGTTCATATTGTTATTTTAATCAGATCCAAATGTTGTTGTCTAAAGATCTTGTTTTAAATCATGTTTTTTTTTTTGTCTGGTTTATTGGTTTTATTTAAAGTCAGAGTTGTTTTAAAGTTTTTAGGAGATCCATATCTGGTTCACATTATGAGTTTTTGTCACAAAGAGGAGCTTGTTTTCTGCAGACAGTCAGATCTCTATCTAAAGTTCATCATTTGTGCAGCTCAGATATAGATCTTATTTGTGGACCTGAGGCGAGAAGAGAGAGAAGTGAGAGGAAAGGAGGAGAGTTTGACTCTCTCACAGTCTCTAAATGCACTTTCTGTCACGATGGTGAAGTTAAAAAACAGAAAAAGGACCTAATTCAGAACAAAAAGTGACTTCATGAAAAAAGTGACTAGATAAAGAGCAACAAAAGCTTACTAGAAAATGTCCAACTCAAAAATACACAATCTAAATAAATGCACTGGGGGAGACAATCACAAGGAGACACTGGCATAGAGACACACATACAACTTACAATGAACCAACAAGGAAATAGTGGAAGACAGGGACTATATACACACAACACAGGGAAACGAGCAACGAGAGGCAGGTGAGACACCGAGACACAGGTGAAGACAATCACAGAGGAGGGAAAACTGAGGAAGTACAACAAGACTAGAAACACGGGGAATAAACTACTACAAAATAAAACAGGAAACACTGAAAACGGATAATAAAAACACTGAGAACATGAGGTAACCGGAGTCAGACACAAACTAAAAACTTACAAGACAAGACTACAGGGGAACAGAAACGCTAGGGAAAATCACAAAGAAAATACACTCTAGAGAAACACAAATCCAGGAAATAACTAAAAACCAGAACATATCATGACACTTTCTCCTCTTCATAATGAGAACATCAGATCCTGTAAACCCATCCAGCTCTCGGTGAGTCTGCAGGATCTCAGTGTGATCTCTAACAGGGTTAACTAGTTAAAGGTGGGATAGGCAGGATTCGTTTTTGTGGTGTTTAGCTTTAAATATCAGTCAATAGCTGTTAGTTATTGATGACATTTGGTAATATAACGATACCGCTGTGTTTTGTTATGTCTGTATAGTCAACATTTTAAATTTTTTGAGCGGCCCGCTCTTTCTGACTGTAAACAAAGTCATTCTCTGCCTCCCCCAACCTGATTGGTTGTGAGGCAGATGCTGCTCCCTCATGTTGTGAGGCACGCTCCACGTCTTCCAATAACGTGCATGAGCTAAGACACAGTTAGCGTGCTACAATATTGGAGAGTAGAAACCAACCAGAAAGTACAGAAAACACAAGCAATAAAACAAAGTAAATACCGGAGACTCTGGTGGAATAACGGGCGCTTAAAACGGAGGTAGACTGACTGGACAAGAGCTAAGAAGCCCGGTCAACATCAACATAAACGATGGGGAACACTTCAGGATTTTACAGACTCTGTAACCTTTCTGCTGGACAGGTAAACTGCTTTAACAAAGTAAGCTAAGTGTCTGTAACAGAAGTGTTTCTTGTGCGAGCAGGAGTGTCTGTTTGTGGTTGGGAGGGTCGTGTTTACAATCACGATTTCTCCTAAAAAACCGTCACTTCCTCAGATCCTGCCTACCCCTCCTTTAATCTCTAACAGGTTAACCAGCTGTCTCATCCTCAGGTGAAAGCATCCGGGTGTCTGAGTGTTTATCTGCTGCTGTAGCTGGAGGCGGCCAATCAGAGGCCTGCCTGAGCCTCTGTTAACTGCGGCTCTCCTCCTGCAGCCGCATCAGAGTCTGGATGTTACTGTGAGGGGAACAGAAACCTCACAGCACCATGACTCTACAGACACAGAAACAGGACGCCATCCATCAGACCTCAACGCCGCCCTGAACCTGCTCACAACTTTCATCCTCCCCCCCGACTCCCCGGATGTCCCCCCTCCCTCTGTCACCCAGCCAGAGGGGAGGAGAGGCAGAGAAACGTGGGAGGAGAGAGAGAGAGAGGGATAGTGAGGGGGAGATAATTAGAAAAGAGCGCTGGGAGGGAGAGGATCAGTCACCTGAGCTCAAGACTGCAGGTAAAAACTGTCAGAGGACGAACGAGAGAGGAGTAATGAGAGAGAGAGGAAGAGAAAGAGAGGAAGAGAGGAGGAGGAGGATAGATGACCTGCGATTTCATCATCCCTCCTTCCTCACAGAGGTCCTCAGAGATCTCAGGCTGAGACTCTGATCAGTCGATCGTCTGTGGACTTCCTGACTCTGAATCGTCTCTGATGGACGGGTCTTTATCTTTCTATTCAGGTCCAGTTTGAGATCTCACTTTACTCTGGTCTGCTGGATCTGGATCATCATAAATCTAAGGTTCCTGGCTCTCGATCTTTCCTGGTCTCCTGTTACTTTGTTTGTGGCCTCTTAGCTGTAGTTCCTGTCAGCTGTAGTTGTATTTTCCCCTGAGCCATGTTGGCGTGCAGAGCGACGTGTACGGCAGCATGCAGAGTGGCGTGCATGGTGGCGTGCATTGATCGATGTCTCTCAGTGTTTTCAGTTTTTAATGACAGCAGCAGCAGCAGAGCCGAACACTGATCAGACCCTCACTCCTGAAATAAAGTCATGATGATGTCAGAGACTCTCCTCCTCCTGAAGGTTTATAATCATCTCTCTCTCTCTCTTTCTCTCTCTCTCTCTTTCTCTCTTTTTCTCTCTGAGCGACTAATTAATCATCTGAAGAAGATGAGGAGGGAAGAGCCAGCGGAGGATCTGATCCATCATCACTGTTTATGCTCTTTCATTCTTTATCTCTTCACGTCAAACATCAGCAGCTCATCCAGAGAGACGGGAAAACCTGCAGAGAGTCAACAGTCTGACCTGAACCCTGACAGAGAGAGAGAGAGAGAGACTCATAACCTCCGTAAACTATAATATGTAATTATCTTAAAGGCATGGTTGACGATTGGAGAGATTGGTAATTATTATGAACCTCGTTTCTATGGCAATCATGGTCCTATCGTGCGATCTCCACCAAGTGAAGAGAGGAAAAAATCTGTTCACCCTAGTAGGTGCAGAGCTGCAAAAACATTGACCTCTCCATCCAATCACCTCGCTGTATTCGACACACCCCTGTCCCGTAGATCCGACTCGTCCCCTCCCACTCTCCCGGCCCTCCTCTGAGCTCTGAGCGGCTAAAAGTAGCATAGCATCATAGCTACAGGAGCTGTGATGGAGAAGGACGTGAAAAGAAACCACTTCTGCTTGCCCCACCGTCAAAAGGGGGAAGAAAACGCAAGTCAACAGAAGAAAGAGCGAAGACGGAGAGGAAATGTGACCAAGTGAGGAATCTAACTCGAATAAACATCGGGTCATCCTTCAAGCGGTGGAGAAAGCTCCGCCAGGATTTGGGCCTGAAAACAGACGCAGAGACAGCAGAGTTTTTGTTGAACAGATAATGTTTACCTTTTATCGTGGCACATGTAACATAAATAACTCTTATTAGTCTCTGCAATGTCGACACAGTAGCTGTCGAGAAAGCTGCAGATGGCGCTTGCTAGCAGAGCTGGCGTTTACTGCCGCTAGTCAGTAGAAATCCGACATGGTGAATCCTATTTGAAGCTAGCGTAGGATCTTCTGCCGCGGGGGTGAGGGAGTGTGTCGTAGGGAGGGCGATACAGGTTCAGGGGGGAGTTATCGTGGAGAACCGAGGGGAGAGGTTTGTGTGCCTCAAATCTGCCTCAACGGCTCAGTTTTTTTCAACTGCTTCTCAGATCCTCAACCATGCATTTAAAACACACTGAATCTGGACTGATGATGCGTCTGTCCGTCGACCTCTGAACTCTAAGGTTTGACTTTAACACCACTGAAAGATTTGAAAGTTTTTTGCTCACAGGTGTGGAAACATTTCTCTGGATTTTCTCTTGTTTACCAGTTATGAAGCTGAGTGAGTGTCTCTGCAGGATCTGACCCGGCCGCAGACCTGATTTCTCAACTCGTGCGTCATCAGGCTGCTGGAAACTACATTTTTCTCTAAAAGCGCGCTTTCCAGTGGTGCTCTTATAAAACTGTTTTCTGCTCTGACGTTTGACAAACTAAACAAGCAGACCTACTGTTTAAAACCCCCCAGAGAGAGAGAGAGAGAGAGAGAGAGAGAGTCTGAGCAGGAGAGAGAAGCTGACGCTGAAGCCAGTCAGTCCCTGTTTCTCTCCGAGTGCAGCTCTGAGTAATAGAAACATGTCAGGAGACACTGAACGCATTGATTTCTCTCAACACACAGAGAAAGTGATCATCAGACTGCTTCAGCAGGAGATAAACAAGAGAGAGAGGAGGAGGAGGAGGAGGAGGAGGAGGAGGAGGAGGAGGGGATAATGTGCATCCTGATGTTCAGATCTGTAAAACAAATGAGGCTGTAAAGGTCAGAACAGACTGATCCAGAGAGAAGAGGAAGAAGAATAGAGAAGAAAATGAGCAAGAAGATGATGGTGATGATGACGAAGGTGGAAAACATTTTTTTTCATTTCCCATCAGGTAAAATCAGCTGATCCTGCTGCAAAGAACCAACAAACACCTGATCAGATGTGCAGATATAAACAGGTGTAAATCTGATCAGATATTGATGAATAAACAGGTGTGACTCTTACAAGTTAAAAAAGTTCCCAGGTTGACGTGGGCCCGCTCTAAAGTCTGAGACTCTAACGCAGACTGTTTTCCTCTCTGCAGCTGATAAATGAGTCTCAATTAGAGCCCACTTTTCTGAGGGTTCACTGCAGGTCAGATGAAAATGCTAAACTGAGAAAATGGCCTGAAAGCAGGAGGATAATACGATCTAAAGTTACAGTGATTAATGATGAGGAAGAAACGTAAACTTTTGCTTTAAATGGAGCGTTTCTCCAACTCTGAAGTTCAACTTTCACAATAACACTGAACAAACTTTATACGCTGCTGTTTATACCTTTAAAAAGGATGTACAGGTGTGCTGTGAAGAGGTTTGAAAGCTTTTCCAGCGTTCACCTTTAGACGTTGATTTTGCATTGAGATCAGAGTTAATGAGGAAATCTGCTCCTGTTACAGGATTCAACACATAACCAGTGATTCTCAGTATGAGTGATGGGAAGAGCTGTTCTTTTGACTGTACTGAATCTTTAGAATCCGTTCATTAAAATGATTCGTTCAAAAGATTCGTCCACCGAATCAGTCAGTGCTCCGGAGCCCCGTCCAGCTGGGCGCAGTACACGAGTGAGTGACACAGTGGCGTTGATCGGGGGTTTCGTTCACCTAACGAACCCCTCCCCTGGTGCTGAACAAAACGCACAGCGTCGTTCACTGGGTGACATGTCGTTCATTCGCCAAGTCCTGAAGGGAGAATGAGTCCCCTGCCCTGAAAATCTCACCTCTCTGTGCGCTGCCGATGTTCCCATCATGGCGCAAGTGAAACAACACAACAGCAAGCAGCACGCCCGCTTAACAAGCGCGAGTCGTTGTTCTTCTTTATTCCGGAAAAGTGGAGAGATTAAAAATGAATAAACTGTAGCAGGGAGTCTGATACTTTTAAAGATCGTTTTGTTCACAGTCTGACTGAAACATGTCGTTTATTCACTGTGAGCAAATCACAAGACTCCGCCTACCTGCTCGCTCACTCGCAGGCTCTGTGTCGTTCGCAGCTGAGCTCAACTGAACTGAGAAAGGAACGACTCAGGTCTTGAAATGATTCTGTTCACGTCGTTCACTCTGCAGTTCCGTTCTTTTGAGTATGAAGCAACATTTACTGAGTGTCAGTCAGACTCTCATCGTCACGCCTTGAACTGTTAATCACAGCAGCTGAACTTTGTCAGTGTTTAGGCTCCGCCCCCATCACTCCACACAGTTTGACACTTAAATGCAAAAAACTAGAGACTGATGGGAAAATATCCGAGGTTGATAATTGATCAAATATATTAAATCCACAGCAGACAGTGAACATGCAGATAACTCTGCAGCCCATGTTTATATTACTAATATTTCTCAGTGGAGCTTTATCATGTGCTGCTGATTTAATGTGACATTTACTGACTGTCACTGCTGTTATACTCATTACAATGACTGTCAGAACGATGCCTTCAATGACCGCTGATGACTGTAAACACATCACGTTCAGACTTCTCATTTAGACAGAGCTGTTATCAGGAAAGCCACACACACATGCACACACACACACACACACACACACACACACACACTGATCTCCCTGGAAAAACTGTTGACATTTGAACACATCGTGGTGAATCCTCAATGACCAGGCTGAAGGAGACCTGACTCCCCGAGGACCAGGAGGAGGAGGGAAGGTGTCACCGCAGCAACCAGCGTCGTCCTAATGACCATTTTATACACTGACTGTGCTCCTCCTCCTCTTCATCACCTGCGGCAGGATTATGTTAATGAGACATGACAGAGCGCAGGAGCGAGCAGGTGAAGAAGAACAGAGCTGGTTTGTGCCCTCCAGGGGCCGAGCGCAGATCCAGAGCGGATTTCTGGTTATTGAGGCTGCGGTGCAAAGCACTGATTTAGGTGATGGATGGAGTGATAAAGAGAAGGAGAATGAGGGAGAAAACGAGGGAGTGAAACGAGGTAGTCGGCTGAAGGACGAGAGTTCAGGGTCTGAGTTGAGCCGATTTACAGGAGGAAAAGGAACGTTTTGAAGGCTGCAGGGCTGAGAGCAGAAAGATTCAGTTTTATTCTTCTGTTCAAACTAAAAACCTTCAACCAGAGATTATCACCCTCTTCACAGAGTCCCCTTTAACATTACTGTCCACATGCTGCTGCATTAAATCAGATTTATACAAAGGGAAGAACAGGATTGGTTTTGGATCGGCATTTCCTGCCAAATTCTGACTTGAATTATGAGTTTAAACGGCTTTTACACACATTTATACATCTGTGCTGCAGTCTGAGGCGTGTTTAGGTTACTGTTTGTATTCTGAGTAGAATCGACCAATAGGGTGTCAGCGAGCTTAAAGGTGGGGTAGGCAGGATTCCGTTAAAGAAGCATCTTTTTTGTGGTGTTTATACAAAAAAGCTTTTAATATCAGTCAATAACTGTTAGTTATTGATGACATTTGGTAATATAATGATATCGCTGTGTTTTTTTTATCCCTGTGTGATCAACATTTTACATTTTTTGAGCGGCCCGCTCTTTCTGACTGTTCAAGTCGTTCTCCGCCTTCTCCAACCTGATTTCGAACATTATTTAATCAAATAAGACAATAAAATACAAATCAGGAAGAAAAGAAAACCAACAACAATGTCCGAAAAGGAAAAGGAGTACGGAAAATCGTCTGAATCCTCCTTTGACCACGACTGCCAACACAAGCAAGAAAAGACCAGACAAGAGCTAAAAAGTCGGGTCAAAATCAGCATAAACACTCGGGGACACTTTGGGATCTTTGTGACCCTGATACGATACGAGCGAGCAGGGGCGTCTGTATGTGGGCGGGGCTTGCTAGAGCAAAGAGGGAGGGGAGAGGAGGAGGAGCTGAGGGGAGGGTGGTGTTTGCATTCAAGATTTCTCCTAAAAACTGGCACTTCCTCAAATCCTGCCTACCCCACCTTTAAGCGTCTGCAGGAAAAACAGTCTGTATGGAGAGCAAAAGCAGGAGAAACATAATCCACCATACAGAGTATTTATTACCACTGACTGTCTCTGAACTAATCAGAGATCGACTGAAATCGTAAGAACTAAAGGAAGAAGTTGTTTCTGACTGTAATAAATGAGACAGGATGGATGTAAAGGATGATTTGCAGGCTAACGCAGAGGCAGAAAAGCTTCACATGGTCTCTGTCTTCAAGCAAACCTTCAGCAAACTCGTTCCCTCGTATCAAAGACAGGATATCAGTCAGAGGACTTCCTCTTATCGTGTTAGCGGGGAAGCTTCTTACGCAATGAGAGCGATAAGAGCCAGAGCAGGAGGCAAAGAGGTAAATCACAGCAGGAAGGGGAGAGGGAGACAGAAAGAGAAGCCCAAGGGGGGTGAAGAAGAGCAGAATGAAGAGGAGACATGGAGGGGAGGGAGGAGAGCTAACGCTGTGTTTCATCACTGTCAGAAGCGGGCCCCGTCGCTCGGCATGCTGGGACGGAGAGAAAAGGAAGGAGGAGACGCAGGAGGGAGTTCCAGCTCAGTAAACTCAGCTCATTTATCTGTAATCTTCCTCCAGATAATGTTCCTCTGACTCAGTTTGTTTGTCGACTCACAGAGAGACAGAGTTAGAGAGAAAGACAGAGTTAGAGAGAGGGAGAGTTAAAGGAGAGATCTCTGCAGACTGAGGAGGATATGTTCATTTAAGTCCATCCTGACAGCCTTGGGACCATCACTGGCTGCTTTCACTACAGTATCTAAAACTGGAGGCTGATTCTTTTTTTAAAGTTACAACCTTGAAGCTTCTGTTTAGAGAGGATGACCCTTTAATTTGAGAGCTGACATGGATGAAATCTGTGAGAGCTGCCGATGGTCCTTGTGGAATAAATATGGCCTGAGCGAGAGATGAAATCCTGGATGCACACAGACCATGAGTTAAGCTTTACAGTAAAGAGGCCAAAAGAGGAAATATCCCAGTATGCTGTGTGATTAATCTTTAACACGGTGCAGCTGATATATAACGTGTTTGGATGAGTCTGTCCTCAGGTGTTCCTCAAGGACCTCTCCTCAGCCCAATACTGTTTTTATTCCACAGTACAACTAAATCTGACTGTATGCAGATGATACTGTAATTTACATGCACAATGACAATCCAGGTTGAAGCAAAGATCTACAGATTATTCATCCATCCATCTATTTTCTACTGCTTATCCCATTGGGGGGTTGTGGGGTGCTGGAGTCTATCCCAGCATCTTGGGGCAAAGGGGACAACCTTGACAAGTCGCCAGTTTAATGCAAGGCTGACATATAGAGACAGAGAGACATTCACACCTACAGGCCACTTGGAAGTGACCAATTAACCTAAAATTAAATCAAATCAAATGCATCAGATTTCATATGGCGCTTTATCAGAGATCCTTAAATTGCTTTACATTGGATACATCATTCATTCGCTCACACAGTCACGGCTTGGCGGTGGTAAACTACCTTAGTAGTCACAGCTGCCCTGGGGCAGACTGACGGAAATGTGGCTGCCAGTTTGCGCCTACAGCCTCTCCGACCACCACCACACAACACTCACAATCATACACCAGTGGAGGACACACTGGGAGCAAGGTGGGTTAAGTGTCTTGCCCAAGGACACAACGGACAGACTCAGGATAGGGGGGAATCGAACCGCTCTACCTCTTGAGCTACTGCCGCCCACATACCTAACCCCACTTCTGCATGTTTTTGGGATGTGGGAGGAAACAGGGGTACCTGTAGTAAACCCACACAGACACAGGAAGAACATACAAACTCCACACAAAAATGCCCTGACCTAGATCCATGTTTACGTGAACGGTTCAGTGAAGCAACAGTTTTAGCTCAGTTAGGTGATTCAACTGGACTACTGTACCTGTCCCAGTCTACAAGTACCAGGTGAGATTCAGCTGATTGTGCAGATAGTGCACAATATAAGGTGACCAGATATCCTCAATTTCCAGGGACCATCCCCATATTGGATGACCTGTCCCCGGCTAAAGCTGTCCCTGGAAATGTCCCTAAATTAGCGTTTTATGAATGAGAATAAAAATATTGCATGTAGACAAGAACAATGATTATTTCGGTAGCAGAGAAGGTCGGAAGCGCAAGTAAGCATGTTGTGCACAGTCCTGAACAACAGTTTTTATGGGGGGTTATTACGGGGGGCGTGCGCTGCTACTAAGTAGTGCTGAGATGTTGTCTGTGGTCACGCAGCAGGATGTCCCCGGTGGTCATCTTAGTACAAGATAAAAGTTTGATTCCCTTTACATCCCGAGGAGCTGTCTGATGTGGTTCAACATGTGGTCAGCATCCTCCTTGGCTGGTTTCTCCAGAGGACTCTAGATATGACCACTGATGAGGACCAAGATGTGAACCCATATCATCTGGCCTTGAAATTCCTGATTTTCCAGGAGAAGGTGGGAAACATTGCTGTGCAAGGAGACCTCTGGTTTAATCATTCCTCCTCCTGCGTTTACAGCCAAACATGGATCAGAGCAAAAAGGAAAACCATGTTTGGATAGATGTTGTCTTCAGAGTTTTTCTGTCTGAGTGAGCAGTCTTTTTTTTTTGCTGGTTTCAGAGTAACACGGCTCAGATTGTCTCCCGAGGGGAGGATAAAGTCTGAGGAGCTTCTTCAGCAGCCGTTTGCTCTCCTAATGGTGACAAATAAAGATGTGACGGATAGGAACGATAGAAAGACGGGAGTGTGGCTGATGGAAGCTGTTAGATGAAGAACAGCAGAGAAAGCTGCAGCTGCTTTCCCTCAGAGCATCTGCCTGTAATGAATCAGCGTCATTATGAGGCCTGAGGAGACGCTGTCGCAGTGCTGCAGAGCTGCTGTTCAGACGCCCGAGGAGGAAACAACACCAGCGACCACATCACAGCTGATAACCATCAGGATGAGGAGGGCAGACGGAGAGAGAGAGAGAGACAGACTGATGCAGGACTGAGTTTTGACTCTGCTGCAGCCTGTCACAGTCAGCAGGACGCCAGATTAATGTTTTGACCTTTGCAGTGGCAGCTGCAGTGATTTCCAACATATTTATGATCATTACTTCCTGTCTCCTGCCGACACGTCCCATCACCACCACGCCGCTCTGAACGGCGAGGAGCCTGGTGGAAAAACACTGAAACAGCATCCAGACAAAATGACAGAGAGCAGAGGAAATATCAGGACAGAACACCGAAAATAGGACAGCTGCTTCCTGATTGGCTGTCAGCTGTAAATCATAAATCGTTCTATCAGGCAGTTTAACCTCCGTTTTAAACCAGATCTCCATTTTAGATTTTAACTAACCCTGGAAACCTCTCTGACATTTTAGGTCCTCATAACTCACTCAAGACTTCTGGAACGTCTGTTGGATCTGTTTCAACCTCCACAAAGTCTTCAAAAACCTTGAGCAGGACTTTGAAAACTTCTTCAAGGACCTCTGAAACCGTCACAAGGACATTTCAAAACCTTCCCAGGAATCTTTTCGACCATTTCAACACTATCAAGGACCCCTAGACCCTCAAAAAGAGATCTGGGACAAGTTAAAACTGGTGACTTATCATGACTTCAAAACCTTTTCAGGATCTTCAGGGTAGCAAAACCTTCACAAGAACATCTTGAGGTTTTAAAGTAATTACTTAGCTATCTTAACTCTCCCCAGGACCTCAAAAACCATCTTAAAGACTTTCTCAAGGGGATCTAAAACCTTCCCAGGGATCTTCCACCTCCAACAACTTTCGAAAAACTCTACAAGGACATCAAGAACATTGACAAGGACCTCTAAAACAGCTTTATTCATCCTAAACCTTCAATGACTTATTAACGCTCAGATCCCCAAAGTTCCCATGAGGACCTCTGAAACCTGAAATGCTCTTCCAAAAATGTCTCAAAGACCTCTCACACCACCTCAAACCCTCTCAAGAACCTTTCACAGCTCCACAAACCCTCTCAAGAACCTTTCACAGCTCCACAAACCTTCTCAAGAACCTTTCACAGCTCCACAAACCTTAATAAGGACTTCTCACACATCCACAAACTTTCACAAGGATCTCTCAGACCTTCACATAGAATCCCCAACATTGCCTGTGGTCTTAAGGACCTTCCAAGCCTTCATAAGGACATCCAAACTTTCTCAAGGACTTCTTGAGATGTTGCAGTGTCTTAATAGGACATCTAAACCACCAGAAAAAACACTTCTTGAGGACATCTGTAACATCTCCAAGTGTCCTGTAGCCTGAATGATACACTGCACAACCTCAGAAAAGGACCTGGAAACTCCTCAAAGACTTTCAAGGCCTGCTTCAAATTTCTAGGGGACCACAATGACCTTTCAGATCCTCTTAGAAAAAAGGACCTCTAAACCTTTGTAGCCATCCAAAGACCTCTAAAAAACTGAAGCACTCACAGAGCTCTGTGTCTGAGGTTGAACTCTGATAATGCTGCTCTCTGATTGGCTGTCAGGTGAAGTGTTTTAAACTGAATTGTCTTTATCATTTGCTCTTTTCGAGCCTTATTTACCGTAGATCTGAGTTTTAGAAATTTTTAACCTTTTTAATTTGATTGATTTGTTTTGATTGAAGAGTCTTTCTCCTCAGTTTGGCCTATTTTTCGTCAGCCTGTATTTGCTTTAGATTCCTCTTACTACCATGTGTGGGGTTTTTCCTCCATCCATCACAGCTGATCTGTGTTCTTGCTGCTTAAACTAAAATCAATCTCACATCTCTAATTGCAGCAGGAAAACACATTTCCTCTGTAAATTCGAGTCATTTCCCAGCTGCAGATTGTGGTTTAAAACCCAGCGGGGCGTTTGGTATAAATCTGTGTCTCCTGCTAAAGACGCTGCTGAAGAGCGGCTGAAATATTCTCTTATCTCAAACTGTGTATTACCGTAACAATCCCTCACCTGTGCTTTAGTTCCTGTGGTGAGGTGGTTTATCTGAATCTCCAAGACGGAAACAGATTCTACAGCAGAGAAGTTTTTATCCTGTCCATAAACCTGCAGCTGCCTCAGTTTGGGGTGTTACTTTTTACACAGCAATAGTCTAGGGTGACCATATTCTGAATCCCCAAAAAGAGGACACAACCACGCAGAGTCACAGAGTCACACGTAATTAATTTTGAGAGTTTTTCAGGTTGGGTTGAGTGTTTTCTAACTTAGTAAGTCCATGTGACACAAACTCAAAACTTCCAGACAAAACCACAGACATTTAAAGGATTTTATAAACTCCTGCAGACAAGGCCAGACAGCCCTCCAAAAAGAGGACATGTCTGGGTAAAAGAGGGCGTACGGTCACCTTACTATAGTCTCATTCCCTCTTCTTGTGTCTCTGAGCTTCATGAGGGTCTTTATAGATGAACAACTACAGATTTCATTCACAGCTGTGACTCAAATCCAGCTCGTCCTGGCCTTTGTTAACAAAGGGGTCATCAGAGCACAGACAGCTACGTTGTTGTCCTGAAAACATCCAAACTTTCCCTGTTTTCTGAAGCCTTCGTCTTTGAGAAGAGAAACTAGTCAAGACTACTTCACAACCATAGCCTGTATATCGAATGGACGCCATCTGCCTGCTAGCTGGGTGAAGTCACCGTGAGAACAGCACCCTCTGGTGACAGGCTGCAGTATAGGTCATAAATCCCTCCTCCTCCAGCAATCTCTATGGAGTTCTGGACAAACTTTAGAAATCAATTACACAGAATATAAATGTTTCTCCCCCTGCCTGCATGTTGACGTGTAGTTATTGTAAGACTGGTTTGTGCTCAAGTCTTCTTTTTTCTGTTCAGCTCCATTTTTAAAAGTTATTAGGGTGTTCATGTTTTCTATGATTGACACTTGATACAGCCTATGGGTGGAGCTTACCCAGGAGAGTCGTATTTGAGCAGAGCGTCATCGCAGCGACTCTCGGCAACTCTCCCGCCGAATACGTACAACACTACTGCGCAAGCAGTGGTTCCAGGAGAAAATCCTGGAAATACTGAGAGCAATTCGGCTTCAAATTCGTATGATGACAGAATATACAGTTGATGTTCACAACCAAAAGAAGACTTAGAGAAAGTTTAGAGACAGACTAAACCAACAAAGAGCAGAGAGGAGGAGGAAGACCAGCAGAGGGAAAGGGTTTTTTCCATCCGTCTGGTTATAACTGACACCCTACCATGTAGATATGTTTATTCTATCAAGAAGAACAAGTATGCAGAAACGTGGACACTGTGAATCTCAGTGTAGTTCTCTTGTTTAGTTTCTGCAGAGTCTTTCGTGAACCTGCTCTGCATGTTGATTTTCAGCCTGTTAACTTATTTTCTCTCCTCTGAATGCTCGATCGCTCTGCGGGGCTGTTAGTTATTTCACATTCGGCTTGTTTTCATCAGAGGAAAAGTCTCATATTTTTGTAGCGAGTAATCAATGACTGTTTTTATATCCAGAGATCGATCACAGAGGAGACCTTGAAGATGCATCCTCGGTTCAGACCTTTGTGTACTCATCTGAAAGCTTCTCTCAGCCCCTCGCTTTCCTACGAGGAGACCCCTTTAGCCTCCGTCCTGAGCGTGAAGTGTGCTGAGCGAGCAGTGATTACACAGTGATGTATCAGTGACAGCCTCACAGTGTAATTCAGAGGGAGAGGCATTAGCACAGTCCCAGCTCTCTCTATTCATTAGCTCAGTCTCTTTTAATTATCTCTGCGTCCACCGACAAAATGAGCCTCTTTTCTCCCATCATCCCTTTCTGCTGCTCTCGCTCTTTGTCCCGCAGACTGAGTGGTCAGCGAGGTCTCAGCATACAGCTTTTAATGCGTCCATTACAGTTTTAGAGCACCAATAAAGCCTTCAAGGTCAGAGGTGATGACAGCGGCAGAGAGGGGAGCTTCACTTCCAGCTTAATGTCAGATAGAGAGAAAGGCTTTCATGGGGGAGACAGTCGCCCTATCATCTCCCCTCACACTCACTGACACTTTCTCACTCTCCATTTATTGATAATAGTCTCAGCCTGCAGGTCAGAGAGTCTCGGCTCTCCGATCCCATCTCTGCAGAGCTAGCAGGCTAATATCCACCCTCAGAAAGAGAGGACGGTTTCATTTAATCTGCAGAAACATGTGCGCTTATGCTAAGCTAAGCTAACCACCCCCCCACTGATAAGAGCTGCTCTCAGCAAATGTTGAACTGCTCCTTTAATGAAGCTGTTGAAGTCGACCCTCTGAACTCTGAGCATTCAGAGCAGATTAAGTCGTACTGCTCGGCTGAACCTGAATCCTCTACAGTGTTTCCATTCGCTTCACACAGACGCGGAAGGAGATCAATTATGACCCGACACGTTAGAGTCCGGAGCGCAGAGAGGGATGATGTAGAGCCAAAGACATCCAACGACAAAGAGCCAATCAGAGAGCGCGCTGAGCGAGTGTTTGGCATCCGGAGTTAATAAGACGCGAGATGAGTGGGTTTATCAGAGAGCAGCAGGTTTCGGTTTATTCTGCAGGAAAACACCTCAGTGTAAAAAACAGGCCGGGATATAAGAGAGTTTATTATTCTGTTTGAACACAGAGAGCACGAGTGTCTGTTATCACACATTAATATAAACAAGCATGGGTTTGACATCTGGAGGTACCTGCTCACTCTGGTCAGCATGTAAACAACTAAAGCCCATATTCATCATCGGACTGAGGTCTTTATTGGTTTATTATTGCCCAGCTTTTAGACCAATCACCTGGCTGTAGGAATCAATACTGCTTATCAATATGATTCCTTATCGATTCTCGAAAAATAAGATAATACAAATGGGTTTGTTTGCATCAACTCTTTAATACTGTCACCTTTGGACAGAAGATATGACACATCCATGCACTAATAATTTGTTACGTGATCTACCCTTTGACCACAAATCTGCTCACAGCTCAGTGACGTTCATTTATCTTCGCCTCTGTCATTTTACTTTTCCCTGCCTCCATAAAAGGAGCTGCCAAAGGTGTGCGAGAGCTACCCGCTAGCGTGACCATGGCAGTCATCGTCATCTCAATGTAATTTAAGAAGATGTAGAGTATTTTTATCGTAAAAGGGGGTTAACATGGCGCTAACATCTACACAACAAACGGAACCTGGAGGAGTTAAACGTTACCTTCACGATTTAAAGCAGGTGACACTCAAGAGACGTTAACTCTGCTCCTGCTTTGGCCTGTACCAGTCTCACCTTCGCTAAGTAGCGCATCAAACTCCTTACACTTCCGTAAATTAGTTGCGTGCTGGGTGGAAAAATGTTTCCGCATATCAGAAGTATTTCTCCCCTTTAACGAAACTAAAGCTTTGCAGGTTTTGCAAGTAGCCCTGGTATCATCTTTTCACGTAAAATACAGCCAAACTCTTGAGTGCCTTTGCTGCGACGCCATGCTGGAAAGTTCTGAACCAAAACACACTTCTCGCCTACTACGTCATCATGCATGAAGACGTAAGAGGAACTAATAAGCAGAATTGTTAAAGTTTTTACGCTTGCTTGTTGACACTGTGGCAATATTGATGTACAACAACTAATTTCCCCTCTGGGATAAATAAAGTTCTTATCTTATCTTATTGTAATTTCTGATCGTCTCCTACAGGGGGCAGCAGAGCCGGAAAGAGTGTCTCCTCATTATCTGATCAATCATTATCAGATCTGATAATAACAGAAGAGTTAAAAGTCAAGACTGGTCCGTCATTTAGTAGATCTGTGATGGAGAGAGGAGGGTTTGATTCTCTCAGACTGACAGATTCTTTAAATTATCTTTATTTTAATTCTGTGGACTGAACAAAGAAACTCAAACAGGAGCTGTGTTAATAATCAAAGAGTGTAAACAGGTTTAACACGGAGAGACGGGACAAACAGAGCAGAACAACAGAGTCAACACAAACAGGAGACAGACTGATCAGTGATTACACAGTGCAAACAGGACAGAGAGAGTTTTCCTCTTTTAGTCATCAACAGGAGGAAAAAACAGAAACAGGATAAAATGATGAAGAAGTTTGCAGATACTGAAGGTTTCTGAGATTAAAATATTCTCCTCTGTTTCACTTACACAGCCTTGGGACACTTCATGGCGTGGACTGCATAAACTGAATTCATTTTGTTTTTTAGCTTTACAATAATTCACAAAAATTACATCTCTTTGCAGATGACAATGTGGACAGAAAAAGCTTTTAATGCAAATAAATGTGATCATAATTGAGGTTAATTTCCTCAAAGAAATAACGAACAAACAAGAGGAGGTGTCGTTGGTTTTACACCCACTGCTTGAGCGATAACTGCTCCTCTTTGCCGACGATATATTGTTTTACTTTGCACTAAAAAGATGGACACTTTCTCTCAGAGCACGGACTGTAAATGCTCGGTTGGTTTAATATCTCTTCCTTTAACCTAATCCGTTCATACAT